CTTCATCTAATTGGAACGAGGAAATGGAAGTAGAAGCGACGAATCCTAAACTCTTCCCATTCCGCCCCTATTATCCGCTGATCGGTTATAATAAATCCCATTTAAACGAGACCGGTCCGCCGGCATTATGGAGACGATCGAATCTCGTTAAAGGAACGAGGAGACGATTACCGAATAACCGATGCAGGTTCGTCGATCAGCCGCGAGCTTTCCGTCGCGCGGTTAATTCCGTTACGAAAATTGAAAGTTACGGGGAACACACGCCGGGAGCTCCGTGGGTTCGCTCGGCGTTCATGGCTGCCGCGCGACGACCGCGACAGCCAGCATACAAATCGCGGCAACGCCAAAGAAGCGATTTTATTAATTCTTTCCCCGTGGAAGTCCGGGCACGTACACTTTACGGCTTGCTTCCGCGCGGATCTGATTTCCGACGGCGAATCTTCGGCGCTGAAACTAACCTCACCGAAAACCATTCGCGATTCCCCATAGACATAATAACGGTTCGATTCGTTCGGATTTTGCGCGACTACTCCGCACGCGTGGAGATAAATTCGTTTACTTTGTAGAACCATAGCGAGAGTGATCGATCTGTCCTGTCAATTCTGGTACGGAAACGTGCTTAATGCCAGCTACGCTCACTTTTTTTTATTATACATATCAATTTTTATATAAACATTTTTGTTATACTGACATTATTTGTACCATTGATATTCAGTAATTAGTGTCTAACGCCTTGTCTTACAATAGCGTGTGCGACTCTTGGTGAAGATTTTAGAGAGAAATTTTACTGAAATATTTTTCCGTTATATTTTAGAGCAAAGATGGACACGGAACATGCATCGAATTTTTCTCCTTTTTCCAATGAATTATTAATGACGAAGTTGTATCGATCACAATTGAGAAATGAACCGTAGAGCGAGGGGTTAAGTAAAACGGCTTTGGTATCTAATGTATATTCAGTTAGGCGAGAAGCAGAAAAATTCAATTGAAAAATTCGAATTGCAAGGTATATCGGCAATACAATTAATGGAAATCCGGCTTTAAATCGCGGCGAGCGTCGACGTGAACAGCGTGCCAACGATGCACGGCCGCGCTGTTACGTGTCGCGACGCGAGAGGTCATATTATTTCGCGTAATAACCCGCCATCTCGGCCCGTCGGCGCAAATAAATGTTTGCCGACCGGAAGTAACGGTGGAATGTTAATCCGGAGGACGGGCAGTTCACCCGCGGACCTCCTCCGTTCCAGGGAAGCGGCTATCTTCGATCGGAAGCGGCCGCAAAGGCGAACCACTCACTGCGCAGCTATTTAATCGAGCGACGATCTATCGACCCGGTCATGGCACTGCGCGATTTTATTGGCTCGATTGTTAACACTTGAGTCTAACGATCACGCTTTTTTGTCGGATTACTTGAATTGCTGTGTTTACTGGAAGATCCGCATTGCGGGACAGGAAATGACCTTTTAAGAACGGCTTCCTAAATAATCGAGGAAAATTGAAAACTGGATTGCATCGGGTTCGAATAGAATCAAAGATGCTCACGCGAATTTCGAGAGTTTTCAAAATTCAAAAATTTCCAAAATTCAACGTTCACTTTAACAAAAGCATTCGACGACGCTGATAAACGCGAAAGATGTGCAACGAGAAAGGCGTGGATATCGAAAGCCGAACGTTGGGAGAACAACCGAAACGAGATCATGGGATTGTAGTAAACATCGAACGGGACAGAAGAAAAGGAGCGAGTCCTGTTTACCGCGAGATGTTCCTTCTGAGCGACATTGTGCGTCGTCCCACACGCGACGGAGGCCGTGGCGCACGAGGAAGTGTCCACTAACGAGTGCAACGACGACGACGGCGACCTAAATCGGCCGAGGCGAACGCGCATCACGCGTTTGAATTCTGGTGTTTGATCGCGACGCTGCGCGCGGCAAAAACCCGGCGCGCAATTACAGAGAGCGGGGCACGCTTAACTCATTAGCGAGCGTCATCCTAGCGCGAGGACGACATCCTCCGGCGTGAAGCCGCTGATTACATCGAATTCCAGCGGCGGAATTCATCAAACTCGCCGAACACCTGAATTTCGTAATTTACTGCTAATCTTTTCCACTTAACCTGAATCGGCCGGCTCGTGAACGATCAATAATTAAACCGTGAACGATCACGCAAACTCGGGTCTTCGGGGACTAATCCAGAAAATAACAAACATCTCGCAGGAGTTTCCACCTTTTCCCGAAGAATTAAGGAACTCATCAATTTCGAAGTTTTAATTTCACCTTTTCATAATCGAGAGGATTATGAAAGAATAATTCTATAGGAGACATAAATGATGTATCTCGTTTGGCTTTGTAAGCTACGAATTAATATCGCGAGAAGAACAGCGTTTCCAACGTTTCTAGGAGCACCAGCAGACACCGACCATTTCGAACAGTAGTCCCCAGAGCTCCCCGTCTTATAAATCAACCGAAGAATCATTAAACTTTGTTCTCCCGCCGATAATCCAATTAGGGAGCCCGGTTCGATTAAGTTCAATTTCGTGAAGAAATAAGTCTAGCCGGCGGATCGCTAGCCCCGATATTCCAGCCGCGGGCGACCCGATACTTCCGGTGTCGGGATGTTGAGTGACAATAGAGAGGGCCGCCAGAGGATGATCATTTGGCTGGCCAAGTCTTGCCCATTCAATCCGCGCGTCGTGGCGCGGATCCGACACGCGCGCGCGACCGACGTTAGGGGATTAACTCTTTGGAGATGAGGACTTTATGGAGCGTTCAGAAGCTTCAGCGAAAGTAGCTGAATCATGCATCAAACTTAAGCACTAGGAACAAAGTTGTGCAAACTTTGACCTTTGGTCATTTGAATAATCGAATTATTTGTTTACAACTTCCTACTTCAAACATGGAAGTAGGAGATTAACCCGTTGGAGATGATGAATCTTTAGAGTATTCAAAACCTAGAGGCACCTAAATCATGTATCAAACTCTTAAGTACTAGAAAGAAAGCTGTATAGCTACTGACCTTTGGTCATTTGAATAATTGAATTATTTGTTTACAACTTCCTACTTCAGACATGGAAGTAGGAGATTAACCCATTGGAGATGATGAGTTTAGAGTATTCAAAACCCAGAGGCACCTAAATCATGTATCAAACTCTTAAGTCCTAGAAAGAAAGCTGCATAGCTACTGACCTTACTGATCGTCTGAATAATCATTTGTTTACTTTGTGTTCTAAATATGAAACCATAATGTCATCGACGCAAGGATCTTCGAGTATAAAATTCTAAATATCGAACTTTCAACGTCAAACGATTGAATATCAATGTTTGATTCTAATCATTTCAGTACGGGTCACAGATTACCCAGCCTCAGCTTACGACGTCACTTCTAGACGGTCGACCGTCCAAGGCTTAAAGCTCCACAAGAAACGACAGTGGGTCGGCGGTGTCGGTCGTTGGGTCGGCAAACCCGACGGATGAATGGGTCTGGCCCTGGGGTGGTTCACCAGCTGACTGGGGTTGTCGTCATGGCAACCACCAACCCGGGAGCAATGCCCCACCCCTACAAAATTCATACGTATAGTCCTCCCACCCCTCTGTCCTTCTTTCTTCCTCTCCCGCCGGCTCTCTCGTTCCCTCTCGCATTTAGTTCTATCCTCATCGCGCTGTCGCTTTTCATTCTAACTTGGATTCGCTACTTTTAATTCTCTTTCCTGCCGCGCTACCATTCTTGGTAACGTCGAAGCGGGTCCCCCGGCGCGGAAGGGTTGAAATCTTCATCCCCCAGACGCGGAAAATATAATATCCTTTCTTCCGCGTTCGGAAAACAGGGAGACAGAAGGTTGAATAGAGATAAAGGGTTTTGTGCGATCGCGAGGGACACGTTTCTTTCGGAATCAATACGATGAACACTCCTCCAATATTATATTTCGAGCTTGGACCTGCGATTTCAACACTCCGGAGCGTCGTAGAGCGAAGAATTGTTAGGAATGTAACTGGAGCGATGCTATTCGTTTCGTGTATAATAGATTCGCTTCGGTGCTTTGTGGAGATATCGAAATTTTGGTGACTGAAGAGGGAAGTATTCGTAGAGAGGTCATTCCATTGGTTGAAGGTCAAGGTGAAGTTTACGTAGAAGATTCAGATTTTACATTGATCGGAACAAATTTGTAGTATGTACTTTTATGAATATTAACCCTTTGCACTCGAGAGTGTTTCACTGAAAACATTTCACATTTTTCGACGAGGTACAGACGACATTGTTTGAAACTAGTCTAATAATAATTCACAGATCATTTAAATATTACAGATTTAATTTAAAATACTAAATATTCAACTTCATAGTTTCGCTGCATCGAATCAAGTGGTGACTGAGAGTGCAAAGGGTTACTAATGAAATTAATGAAATTGTAAAGACTCGCGTGTACCGTGTGAATAATTCGGATAGTTTTTCTCCGGGACTGTATAGAAGCGTTACAAAAGTGAATAGAGTGCGAGATGAATTGGTACTTCGAAGTTTCTGGGCAAAAAACGCAGGATAAATCCCAGTCTACTAGATTACATCATCGTGCGACAAAGAACGAACCCGAGCGAGATATACGTACACGAGTGCGAGAGGAGTTCTAACTCTAGGACGTAATGACGAGGGAATGACGAAATGGACGGACATCCGTTCCCCACTTTTTGCGAAACTGTTGCTCGTGTGGTGTAAGGCGGTTCGCATGTGACCGAACGTGCTTGTTAGTGCACACGCGTTCTTCGCGTCACGGAATCATCAAAATTCTGATTCAGACAAAAGGAGCCAATTCTCGAATGTTAAAACGTTTAAATGTTCAAATAAAACAGAACGTGAAACCGTTATTCGCCGATAATTCGGATAAATTTCATAACATCCGGACCGTAACTCCTACTTTCGGTATGAAAAAAGATAATTTCCGATAATCTCCGCACTTCACCTGGCCACGGAGACAAGGTTTAATTCCGTCGAAACGAATTTATTCAAAAGGATACATATATCTGGTCCCTTCCATAACGGACTTGGAGATTCCGATTGATTCCCTTTTCGTCGATGTCGCTGATGACCGTCATGTCCGGGACACCGAACTCAGGGCTCGAGCCTAAAACAAAGGAACCGTACAGATGGTTAGTGAGAACGGCACTTAGTCAATTAAATGATATTCACTCCGAACAGAAACAACCGACAATGAAATAAAATAGTACTTCACTCTGAATCAATAGAAATAAATGACATTCGTATCTATCGTCTTCCATTTAACATCATCGTAACGAATCTGCCTCGCAATTCCGAATAATAAATATAAATATTTCTCGTGAATTTACATTTCACGTGATTCGAACGTTTTTCACTGGAAATATTCAACGTTCCCCGACGAGATACAGATGACATTGTTTGAAACTAATTTAATAATAATTCACTGATCAACTGAGCGACGAAGCTATTTCATTTAAATATTTCATATAGCAGCACAAACGTTCATATAGAATACTAAATGTTAATAACTAATTTAACGATAATAACAGATCATTTAAGCGACGAAGGTATTTTATTTAAATATTTCATGTAGCAGTACAAAGTTTCATTTAGAATACTAAATATTAATAACCAATTTAACGATAATTTACAGATAAATTAAGCAACGAAGGTATTTCATTTAAATATTTCATATAGCAGTACAAACGTTCATATAGAATACTAAATATTAATAACCAATTTAACGATAATTCATAGATAAATTAAGCAACGAAGCTATTTTATTTAAATATTTCATATAGCGGTACAAAGGTTCATTTAGAATACTAAATATTCAACTTCATAGTTTCGCTGTATCAAATCAAGCGATGGCTGAGAGTCGCCTCTCGAATGCCAAGAGTTAATATCGAATGTAATGGTATAGATTTAAAAAGATTCCAGAATGTAACCGACACCGTAGCGAAGAGCGCATCGGGTTTTCGAGCTCCGCAGCACTCTAATTGGTTCAGGCTGCCGGTCATCCGAGCTCAGATGTTCATTCGGCATCGATCGCGTTCGGTTGGCAGCAACGCGATATGGAAACCTGGTGAATTCTCTGACCACCTGTTGTTCGCGCAGACAATGCCGTACGTGGCGATTCCTTGTCACCTCGAGTGGTCAATTTCCAATGCAATCGAACCCTTAATAGGAAATCGGGGACGCGGCGCTAAAATACAGCATTAGAGGCGACGGCTTCAAGTCCAATCGAGAGGGCTTAGCCACTTTGAAATCGCACAGCGGAATGTCGTATCGATGAACTCTCGCGTGTACAGAGAATTAATCGAAATCGATTGAAAATTATGAAACCTATGTATAAACGATCGCTGAAGATGATCAGTGAAATATTTATAAAACACATAGAAGTATTTAATTCTAGAAACTTCCAGATGACCGGCAACTAGTTAACATTGAACTAAATTCCAAAGATAAAAAGACGCCTCGGAAAGCCGCGTCAAATGTCAAGAAGCCGAATGAAAAATTAATCAACGCGCCCGGCAATGTGTATTTATAAAATGACAACGTCCCTGAAACAAGATCACGAGTATGATGGATCTGGTTTCGGAACGTGCCTTGAACGTTGCAGTAACGCGAGGCTGCGTTTTCCTCGAAACATTTTTCGGATTACGACACTTTGATTTGAATATAATTGCTCCCGTCCCGCAGCTATGAGGCATGGTCGTTACGCCGGTCGACCACCGTTCGCGTGAAATTGTCCGAAAAGGAAGAAGAAAATTCAGATTTCATCCGGTTTCGACCGCATCTCCTCCAATCATCCCGTACCGTACCACGTGCTAGCGATACGCAGGTGCAACGAGGCGCAAGCACCTGCGAGGGCCGCGTTGCACCTGCATGTCAGCTGCCGTGGTCCTATTTCCCCAAGGTCGTGTGTCACGTGACGCCGCCTTGCAAACTATCGCGAAATTTGATAGCCCGGCTTCGCGTTTGAGACATGCTCCGATGCGTAATTCCAAGCGATTCTGCTGGTCCCCGATCGAACCTCGATGTCGTAATACTTCCGTGAAAGTCTTGCACTAATTAACTCGCAATATTGCCACCGGAGTGTTACTTCTATCCGTTAAATTTAACCCTTTGCACTCGAAAGTTATTCAATGGAAATATTCAACGCTTTTCGACGAAATATAGGTGATACTGCTTGAAACTAATTTAACGGTAATTCATAGATAAATTAAGCAACAACGGTGTTTTATTTCAATATTTCACGTAACTATGCGAAGTATTGCCACCGGAGTTACTTCTGTCCGTTAAATTTAACCCTTTGCACTCGAAAGTTATTCAATGGAAATATTCAACACTTTTTGACGAGATATAGGTGATATTGCTTGAAACTAATTTAACGGTAATTCATAGATAAATTAAGCAACAACGGTGTTTTATTTCAATATTTCACGTAACAATGCGGAGTTTAATTTGAGATATTAAGTATTCAACTTTATAGTTTTGTTCTATCGAATAGAGCGGCGACTGACTCGAGTGCAAGGGGTCAAACATATATAAAGCAGAAACTCGATCGAGCTTGTGTTCATTTGAAAATCATGAAATCGAGGAAACATCTTCATCGATAATTCCTATAAAGAATGCACTAGAAATAATTGGAACTGTTTAAATAACTATTCAATAAAATCCTCATTCTATCATTCACTCTTTAATAATAAACCACGGTATAAATCAGTTCATTTCGAATTTCTTCTCTTACAATTATCGAAAAGCAGCTCTTCTACGGAATTATTAACCCTTCGCGGACGAAGCTTCTTTGAAATATACAAGACCTTCAGCAGATAAAGCTGAATTATATATCAAATGCTTAATTGCGATGATCTCTAGCTATTCGAGTAACTGAATCATTTGTCTGCAACTTAGTCTTCCAAATATGAAAATTTCATCTCTCCGAAATGTCGACAGTCGTCCGCAAAGGGTTAAGCGACGTCCATGCATCCAACCCAAAAACACAAGTGGAATCTGAGTAAATGGTTCTCGTAATTTTTATAAGAGAGCACGAAACAGTGAATTTCACTGCCGAGTAGTTTCGGTCGTTGGGCACCAACGAAACAGTAATTCGCAACGGAATGTCTTTCGGAAAAAATTGAACCGCGACGATTCAAGGGACACAGGCTACCAGCAATGTTCCCCGGGAAAATAAGAGACCCGGATGTGTAATAAATAGGTGCACGATCGACGGGAAAGAATGCAATTTCAGGGGCGGCGCGCCCGTCGAAGGTGGATGGTGTGTCGACTTCAAATTCGACGTTTGTTCCGCGTTCCTCCCGATGCGTCGGCGCATAACTCGCGGAACGGCAGGTGACACAAAGGCTGCCGCTTAATCCTTTCAGTGCCTGCGCGAAGATAACCGGACGAATTTACTAAGATTTAGGAAGATTGATGAAATGATATTTACATAATTTAAAAAAAATTCTCGCAATGAAATTAACCCTTTGCGGACGAACGTCGGCATTTCGAGATGACATGTTCATGTTTCGAAGACTAAATCGCGAACGGATGATTTAATTACTCAAACGGTAAAAGATTAGCACGTAGTTTCTTCTATTATGTAAGCGGTAATATATAATTTAGCTCCATCTGCTAAAGGTTTTGTATGTTAAAGTATCTTCGTCGGCAAGGAGTTAGACCATTCGTAACGTTTTATAAATTTATTTTGAGATAGAGTTCTCCCGCGACGCGAATAGTAAGGCGCTATTGGATGCGCAACGATAGTGTCGCGAACGACGATATATCATCGTCCGGCACTAAAAGGGTTAATGAACCGACAGAAAAAGGCGAACCGCGGAGGAAGTGTTACGTATCTGTACACACGTTCGGGGTGGGTATAGGCGGGCAGACACGCGCGCGAACGTGCGCGTACAATCCCACACTAAACGTCGACGGATCGTTTGCGAGGGTACTATGGCCGCTAATTAAATCGAGATTGTGATCAAACAGCCGCGATCTGTAAGCCGTGTGATTTTTCTTCGAACCTCGTGACACCGTTTTCAATTGAATCCTCGGGGATCTAGACCGTTACGCACTTTGCAGGTGCATCGATTTATATTGTCTCGGTTTTTATTGCGTTGCAACACTGTTAATCCATTGTTCACACGAATGTTGAATGATAAACATATCTTAGTTACGTATTAGTATACGAGTAAAATAATGAGAATAGCTATTTCAAAGATAACTGGTTATAGCGCTAATAATAATATCAGTAAAAATAAAACCTCTGGCAAAAGTAATAATAACAATAGTAATAACGATAATAACAATAACTGTATCGATGAAAACACTAATGATAATAATAAAGTATAAGGAAAAGAATAATTGCACTTTAACCCTTTGAACTCTGTAGGCTCCAATATTGCACCAGTTATAATAAGTATTTTAATGAATCTTAAAGAAACTACCCTAAAATTATTCGATTTTCGATTAATTCGATTTTCGAATAATTTTAAAAATTAGTTGCAATTGCTGATAGATTACAAAACAACCTGGAGTGCTAAGGATTAATAGAAACGAAAGGGTTAACCCTGTGCACTCCAGAAGTTTTTCATTAGAAACACTAAACATTTTTTAATGAAATACCAACGACATTCTTTCAAACCGATTTAACGAGACATCGTGCACAAATTAAACAGAGAGGCTGTTTTATTTTAATACTTCACATGTCGATGCATTGTACAAATTTTAATGTTAAATATCAAACTCTACAATTTTGCTGTGTCAAATCAATTATTGACGACTGAGAGGCGCCTACGGAGTGCAAAGGGTTAAAAAATTTCTATCTAATTCTCTGAACAGGAAAGAAAATCGAAAGCTGCATCCGTGCGTAATTTCTTTTTTTACCCACAATCTGTCCCGGTGACACTGCAATCAGTTGCCAAGATTAAGCCGCGATTACAAGAAGCGTTGGCGCGGTACGGCACAAAAGCCCTCGCGCGAACTCGGAGATCATTACGAGCGACTTGTATTAAATTTCCATGAACGGTGTTCCGACTAACGCGATGTTTGTCTCGCCGCTTCCATGAAGCGAACCGCATCCTCCTTGAGCTTCCTATTTTCTCTGTCGTTCTTTGGAAA